CGCCACATCAGCATGCAATGTAGACCAGAGGTAGCGCCACATCAGCATGCCACCTCAGCAAGCCTGGCGCATAATGCAGGAAGCGCCAGCATGCTGCCTCCTTGTGCCGTCGTCCGCAACGCCTGAGCACAGCCAGCGTGTAGCCAGCTCGTGCCAGCATGAAGCCAGCGCCTAGTCAAAGTCGAGCCAGCGTCAAAGCAGCATAGCAAGACTGAATGCTTGACTCCCTCGAGGCCAACCTTAAGTAGTAGTTGTCAAGGCTGTCTGGCCTCGGTGCTTTCCCCCTCAGTCGTCCAGATTGGCTCACATCTGAAGGCCCAAATTGTACAGTTGCAGACTTCTCCCTTGGACATGATGCTGTCTGGGTACCTGCATACAAACAAGTGTGTGTGCTTGACCTGCGGCCTGGGCTAGGTACCTTTGGACTTTGACTGTTGAGTGGACCGACAGTTGACTAAAGTCAACTGTCACATGCCCAGGCCGTGAATTCGTGTGGGGTCTTTTTCCCCTGTTTCGGCCTGGGCTGAGGGCGGCCAAGTAGGCCCTCAGACGACCCTCAGCTTCCACGAGACATATGGCATGGGTTATTGCACAAGGAGCAAAGAGGACTATCACCTACTTGTATCATATGGAGGACATGCCAGACTGTAGCTTCACACCACCATCAGGACCCAGAAAGACCAGACAAACGTCTGTCACTACCAGAAACTACAGAGACACAGGCATCCCAAACACCACAAGCCCCCTAATAGTCTTGCAGGCACTCCATACAAACAGGCACCGACTATTTAGCACAACTTGAAGGTAGACAACTTTGGTACATAGGCAAACACGGGAAAAGGCTACACCACGTCACAAATAGACAACATCAAAGACAATTATAAATAAACTGTGTGTGTGTGTGTGTGTGTGTGTGTGTGTGTGTGTGTGTGTGTGTGTGTGTGTGTGTGTGTGTGTGTCACTTTATGCATGTGCACCTGTGTGCACACGTTCAAATCTGGCTGTCTGTAAATCTATTGGCTACCCATGTATGTGCGTTTCAGTGGGTTTTACATGCTTCACACTGTTCATTTTCTCTTTGAAGGTGTGATATGAGAGATGCGTGCGACATAACAGTTAGGGGATGCAGCGCGTGAGTTTATGAGTAATAATGATCCTGTGTATTGGGAAGCTTGCTCTCATAATCAGACAGCAAAGCGTTGACTTTTCGATCCCTATGTGCTCTTGGCAGGAAGTCATGCTAAACAGGTTCGCAAGAAAAACAGATTCTAAAACAAAGCAAGGGCGAGAGCAGACAAAGAACACAAGCACGCCGAGCAGTCTTGCAGAGCAATCATGGAGGAGCATTCAGAGACATGCCCGGGATGCTCTTCGCCGCAGCGCTGATTGCCCAATTCTTGAGCAATACGAGGTTGGTTTGCGTTTCCCTTGGTCCTTTGCCTATAACAGCTTGTACAACTTCATGTTTGATATATGGACCACCTTGTTTATTTCACAAAATATGTGCTAATTACTCTGTTGGCTTATTTATTTATCGATTCTTCTTCACTGTCCTACTCTCTCTGTGTGTTGCTTGCTACACCAGTCGTCAAAACAATGCTGCGATGAGCTCTACTTCACTTTGTGCTCGCTTACTCTCCTGAACTGTCCTCCTTTCTCTGTTGTTTGCTGCACACGGTCTTCATCCTCGTGCGTTTGATGTACAGCCCTTCTACATCGATTACTTCTGTGACCATCTGCCACAAGATATCAGTCCTTCCCCCCCATTCTTCACTCTACTGTTTTGCTCGGCTGTATTTTAACTTATCCCCACGATATGCTTAGTTCGTTGGTACCAAGGTCCCATGAGCAGGTGCTACACTAGTCCCATTTCTCTAGTCTGGATTTGAATATGGGTCTCTGGTTTCATCATTCCAATTTTCTAGTTTTATCATCTGGATTCGAAGTTGGGTCTTTATTTCAACAGTTCATTGGTGTGCCAACTGAACTACAGTACGCTTGTTGTTCTGTCATCTCAATTCTAACAGATGAAGTGTTGGCTTTTTTTTCAATTATGTGTGTCATCCTTGTGCGGGGGCCATGTTAATCTTCTTTGCGTTGCTCCGCGTTTAACGGATGTCCTGAAAGACACAGATGATCTCTTCTTGTTGTTCTTCTGAAACAAATGCTTAATTGGGAACTGTACTATTGGAAAACTTCTTGTTTAGGAAAAAAATTTTCAGTCGAAGGCTCTAAGGAATCTGATTCTCTGAGAGTTTTTCCTAGATTGGTGCATTTGCTGAGATTGTGAGTTTTGCCTGGGGGTTTACGAATGGGCTTAGCTAAGTTGGGGTACACCCATAAGCTGTCGAAATACAGACCCGAGTTCGAATCCAGATGCAATCAGATGAACATAATAATGTATTTCTGGGGTCGGTCAGCTCAATTATATATCTCAAGGCAGTCGCGCTTTAAAAGAGAGAAAGGGAGTTTTGCCTCGGTTTGGACTGAGATTTCTTTGAGAATGACCTTTCTATGATGAATCTGTCCATCTTTTAGGCCTTTTGATCACACACAGGTTAAGTACAACAAGCACTTGGTCAGCTTCCCAAGTGCTTGCTGTACTTAACCTGTGTGATCGGCATTTTGATATCGGGCCTCAGAGAAGGGCTTATCTGTCGATGCTGAACTTGGAGGGGTAGCTTGATAAGTTGGCCACAACAAACAAGCACATATATATTTTTTTCTTTTTGTTTTGGAATATCACGGTTACGGGACTGAGATGCTTACGGGATTTGGGTTCTGCGAGGGTTTTGTCTGTAATTTGGAAGCCTTTCCGCTAGAGCGGAACGTGGCTTGACACATGGACAAGCGGGCAAAAGTAGAACGAAGAGGGACATATAGGTAAAGTGCAGGGACTAGGTACGGATTTCCCAGCAACTAGGAATGGCAGTGCGTTGTCTAAACTTAGCAGTACCTGTAATGAGGGTACCGGATTGAATGGAGACTTGATGATTAGGGCTGGGTACGTCCGGTTCCGCAGGAGGTGATCCTGCCTCTTTACAGGACCGGTAGGGCTTAGACCCATGGGCAAAGGAAGAGCTCGGCCGGTGGACCTATCTGTCCAGCTTCCATCTTCCCCCGAATAGAACGTATGGTCATTATCGCTGTGTCTAGACTGGAAGTTGGCCCCAATACAGGCATAATCACCGTATGTTCGAGTTCGGGGAAAGACAGCAGTATATCACTTCGTCGTGCTCCACCCTGAGGGTGAGTAGTGGAGCATCTGGGAAGCCACGAGCCGGCTTGGACATGATGGAGGGGAGCTCCATGGCTATGAAAGGGGGGTAGGAGCTTGACGAGGGATGGTTGGCTGTGGAGATGGCCATTACCGCCCACATTGGGCATGTAGAGGACAAGGAGGGCTTCAATTGCCCAAGAGTCGGATGAAGAGGGAAATCGTGATGAAGACTTACCTTTGCCTATCGTGGGCTACCATCTTCAACGCCAGCTGTGCCACTACGTTGAGAAAACCCCTTTTGTGGAGAGAGGGGGAAGTTCTTTTGTACATCCTCCTTGAGTGGTGTGGATGAACCCCTCCCTCCCAGCTGTGGCTCCTGCCATGAGGATGCCAAGAATTGCGCTGACAAGCAGGGGAGCCCTAGAGAGGGAGTAGGCAGCGACGCCACAGCCAGCTAGTGCCAGGTATAGGAACACAGTGCCAGCCATAGCTTCCAACT